ATGACGGGTGGGGACTGGGGAATAATTGTTTGCCTCTCCATGACCCCTCTAATCCATTTGCTAAACAGCTTCGTAGTTGACTTTTCTCTAAACGGGATTAACCTGTACTGACCACAATGTTTCATACACTTCTAGCTGTATTGATTAGGAAGTGTAGTTCAATCTATTTATTATTTTTCCTTTTACCAAATCCCAAGATTATCTCGTTTTCAAAACTGTTGATGCTACGTCACTGGTTCTTTGGCATTTAGATATACCACACTGCTCTTCTAAATTATTCCTCGGTCTAGTCGGCTGGTTAAACATTCAAACAATGCATCATCAGCTTTAGGAATACAGTCGTCGTCCGTACGCATGGCGTAAATAAATTAAAGATACTGGGTGGGGGTGATTTGGTCTTCTAGTAAAACTGGTCTGTGATGCAATATTATCTAAGGTTACATCTGATTTCCGAAAAATCTGAAGTTGTTTATATGTGCGATAAAAATTTGGGGAAAACATGTTTTGGTGTATACAGGGTGGCCGATAAGTAACTGTCTCCGTCCCGGAAATATTGTTCAGTTGTCGGTAAAAATCGTTATTTTGAGTATTAAGCTGCAATATTGCATGACTGCATTGTCGGCGTCTTTCATGGTCACTAGGCTGTAGTTCTTAGGTTAACTTGTATGGCCACAAATGCAAGTCTTTTTTCAAAATAGTGCATAATGACGTGCGACGAATACCCAGTTCTTGAAAACGATGTCTGGTAGACGTCTCAGGGCGCTCCACTACACTTTCACGAACTCTCTCGATATTTTCCTGAGTATGAACAGTTCGAACACGGCCCGACCTTGGCAAGTCTTTAACTTCACCTTTTTGTTCAAACGTCCCCACCAACTGACGAATGGGCACATTATTTCGACCGAAATCTTGTCGTAGCTTCCGAATGGTTGCAACGATCGATACATTATTTAAGTAAAACGTTTTAACAATACGCGTTGTGGGATCTTGTAGCGCTCCATGATGAATTGGACACATGTGCTTTAAACAACGGCTACGGCGCCACCTACTGAAACACGTGTACTAAAAATGGCGCGCAATTTAGCCACTTATACAGGGTGTCCCAGAAGTCGACGTCAAGCCGAAACCGGGTGATAGGCAAAGTCATAACAGCTATCAGAAAAATATTTAAAAAAAATTATGTATGTGTTTTGAAAATTATAGGTCTTTGAAGAAAATATAGAAATTTAACACCCTACGACAGTCTGTCAACTCCTGTTACTACAAATATTAACTTTTTTTGGATTTTATTTTTACAGTGTAATGATGAATAATGCATCTTCAAACTGGTGTCTCAACCTTACTGCCAACTTTTCTCGTTCAGGAAAAATTGCCACTTATTTCCCAACCAAGTATTCCAAAGTAAAACTTTGCTTAACTTTAACTGGCTGTACTGGAAAAAAATGTACTACGAGAGTTTGGCAAGTAACCTTAAATGTTGGCGCATTTAATAATGATTCCAAAATGGTATAACACTTAGAAGATTACTCGTTAACTTATGCACAATTTTTATTTGAAGAAAAACTGATGAAAATTTATCAAAATTTCCTAATTAAACAGCGATTATGAAAACGCACAAGGACCCTTAAAAATAACTGTTTGCACAACAGTGGGCGTCAAAATGCTGCTAATGATGGTTTACCTTTACAGCAAATGCTCAAACTGTTTTCCTTCAGCCGCAATACTCGCTCGACATAGTGCGCTGGGCAGCCATCATGCTGAAACCACACGTCCCTGTAAATACTCAGTGGCATGTGCTCCAATAAATTTTCTAAATGATTTTGCAAAAAACCTAACTAAACATCAGCAGTCAAAGTCTCTGGGAACTCAAACGGACCGATTATTTTACCATTTAAAATTCCTGTCCAATGGTTTATCTTGAAGCGATATTGAGATTTATCTTTTCTCATCAAATGTGGGTTTGCTACGTGCCACTCGTGTAAGTTATGCAGGTTCATGTACCCATCTTTCTTAAATGTGGTCTCATCTGACCATAAAATTTTTTCAAAGAGCCGTGGATCTTCCCTGTGTCTTTCTAACATTGTGCGACAAAAAGTAACTCGGGGCTCATAATCCCGGGGCAGAAGAGCTTGAACACGCTGTACGTGGTATGGATGGAGCACGTTTTTTTGCAAGATTCTGTGGGCTGTACTTTTGGGCACACCTGTTTTTAGTTCTGAAGTACTCGGGTGTTCTTCGACAGCTCCTAGCACCACGTCTTCGTAAGGAAGGAAAGATCTTCCCTCACCGTGTGATTGGTTTGGCAGTTGGCCCTCTGAGAACAGTAAGCGGTGCACATTTGTGAACACTCGATGATCTGGATGACGAGCTGCATTCGGCTACCTCTCACAGTAAAGTCTCGCTGCAGCACTAGCGTTGCATCTACATTCCCCATAAATGAGGTGCATGTTAGCATATTCTTGTACGGTGTACACGGACATAGCGGCACTGCACAATCACACTATCAAAGATAGTCTAAGGAAAGCAAATGTTGTTTTGAAGAGCAATTAAACAGTCCAAATCCATATCACAAGCGATCAACAGTCAAGTTCACGAATCCAAAATTAGTAACAGTACGAAATCAACAAGCACGAACATGTAAAGATGCGCAATAAACGAAGAAGTACTGATCGGTATCAAAGTGTGCAATAGCAAGTCAGTGATGTGCTTCATCCTCTCCTGCCCCGGGATTATGAGCCCCGAGTTGCTTTTTGTCGCACAATGTTAGAAAGACACAGGAAAGATCCACAGTTCTTTGAAAAAATTTTATGGTCGGATGAGACCACATTTAAGAAAGATGGGTACATGAACCTGCATAACTTACACGAGTGGCACGTAGCAAACCCACATTTGATGAGAGAAGATAAATCTCAATATCGCTTCAAGATAAACCATTGGACAGGAATTTTAAATGGTAAAATAATCGGTCCGTTTGAGCTCCCAGAGAGACTTTGACTGCTGAAGTTTATTTGGATTTTTTGAAAAATCATGTACAAAATTTATTGGTGGACGTACCACTGAGTATTTACAGGGACATATGGTTTCAGCATGGTGGCTGCCCAGCGCACTATGCACTCCCAGTGAGAGAGTATCTCGATCAAAACTTTCCAGGCAGATGGATAAGACGGTCTGGTACAATACCGTGGCCAGCCCGATCACCTGATTTGAATCCTTTAGATTTTTTTACTGGGGAACTGTAAAAGAAAAAGTGTATTTCAAGCCGATTCAAAATGTAGCTGAGCTACGGCAAAGACTATTGGAAGCAGCTGAGTTTGTTAATAACCGTGGATTCGCTCGTTTAATAACCCGATCTTTTTTAAGATGTCGAGCGTGTATTGCGGCTGAAGTAAAACAGTTTGAGCATTTGCTGTAAAGGTAAATCATCATCAGCAACATTTTAACGCCCACTGTTGTGCAAACAATTATCCTTAAGGGTCCTTGTGCGTTTTCATAATCGCTGTTTAATTAGGAAATTTTGAAAAATTTTCATGTTTTTTTTTTCAAATAAAAATTGTGCATAAGTTAACGAGTAATCTCCTGAGTGTTATACCATTTTGGAATCGTTATTAAATGCGCCAACTTTTAAGGTTACTTGCCAAACTCTCGTAGTACATTTTTTCCAGTACAGCCAGTTAAAGTTGAGCAAAGTTTTACTGTTTTACTTTGGAATACTTGGTTGGGAAATAAGTGGCAATTTTTCCTGAACGAGAAATGTTGGCAGTAAGGTTGAGACACCAGTTTGAAGATACATTATTCATCATTGCATTGTAAAAATAAAATGCAATAAAAGTTAATATTTGTAGTAACAGGAGTTGACAGACTGCCGTAGGGTGTGAAATTTCTATATTTTCTTCAAAGACCTATAATTTTTAAAACACATACATAAAATTTTTTTAAATATTTTTCTGATAGCTGTTATGACTTTGCCTATCACCCGGTTTCGGCTTGACGTCGACTTCTGGGACACCCTGTATATTTGTACATCCACGGGCGCCCTAAAAATCCAGTTGTGGCTAATATTTGCATATTTAACACGATTTTGTGTACAATTTTAGGAATTCTCAGGATTTGGTGCAATAAAAATGTGCTAGCCCCTCTCTTCAAAAAGGTTTGGGGGCAGGCACACTTCCACAAGAAGTTTTACTCATCCCCGCGTTTGTATGGCCAATAAAACCACATGTATTTAATATTAAATGTATACGTTTCGGTCTCAACGGTAACCTTCTTCAGGATATGACACATATTTTACTTATCTGCAAATATCTGTCTTCGAGATGACACGTTTTTAATTTTTAGATTCCTATACACTATTTTACTACAATGGCATTTCCGCTTGCAAAAGGACGCGTAGCCCCCAAAACGACAAGCGAGCATGATGTTATATATCCATTTTTCACTGTACCAGATATGTCACCCTTGTCCATTGTTCCGAAAACACCAAAAGAACTCCAAAAAAACGTGGTTTTGCGTGGTGCAATCTCAGAATTTTTAATAATGTCTTCAGCATGTTACGGTCCTTTCAGACTATTGTAGTAACACACAGTATAGGAATTTGGAAATAAAAAAAAACAAAGGAAGTATCACCTGAAAGACAGATAAATAAGATATTGCCAAAAAAGTGTAATGTACTGAAGGTCACCGTTGTGACCGAAACGTATACATTAAAGAATTTTACATGTGGTTTCATTGGGTATACAAACAAAGGACGTGTAAACTATACAATAAGTTGTCTCTTGCCGATGATCGCCCGCCTTCCCCCTGAGAAAAACTCCAGCGGGCCCCCGTGTATATCTTATATGCACATATCTTCATGTCGCAAATCTTGTGGAACTAATTGACCGATCTAGTCATGGAGAAAAAAGGGAAGAGGAAAGAGAAATAGGATAGGAGAAAGTAAAATGCGCCGGTTGAAGAGGTGCTTTGACATAGGACATAGTTAATTTAATTTTCGATAAACTTACTGTCAGCTGCAAATGTCGTTTGTCCTGGCGGCGCGTGAGCCTGGGCCAGGGGCCAGAGTCCCCTCTGAGTAGCGCTCCCCGGCCCGGCTGGGCTGCCTAACATTCTGCCACACTACTGGCCACTCTTGATCTGAAACAAACACAAAAAAATATTTTCAACGTATTTTACAACAGCAGTATCGAAGTTTTTCAGTTAAATGATAAAACCTACATTAGAGCATTAGAGTCGATGTCCTTAAGGGATCGGACCTTGGAGCCCATTCAAGTATTACGTAAGCAGATTTTTTACAATTATTAACCTCCATCCTCTTGTCAGCAAAAGTAGTTTCTTACACCCCCCCCCCTAGGCTTACGTAAATATTTTGGTAACTTCTGAAGTTTGAAGCAAGTATTGGCTTGCACGAACATGTTCTGAATATCATTTAATGTCTTAAAAATACGGAACAACTGGCTCGCCAGACCCATCAATTTCTATTGAACTCCATACCTCTGCTAATACATTTCCGGCAAACTATAAATTGGATCTTTCTAAATATTCATTGATTGTAAGGTCACGATCATCCAAATGAGACTCAGAGTGAGAGTGGCAGTATCAAACAAGCCAGTTCCCGACTAATAGAAGCCGTTCTACGCTCTACTCGGTTATACGCATTTCTATCAGGAGCATTTATAGCTAAGCTTCTAACAGAGTAAGCGTATATATTCGTATTTGGGGAAACCCTGAAATGTGTTCAAACCAAAATCGACTAAACTTTGTAGGACCTCACAAATAAATATTGTTGACGTAACCACCATCTAGACCATTGATTCCCAAAGTGGTCTATATCGACCCCTAGGGGTCTATGACAACCTGCAAGGGGTCTACGTCAGCGAAAAAAAAAACACATACACTGATAGTACCTATTTACTTACATCATACTATCTTATAATATCAAAACATATACATTATTTATAAAAGTACCTATGAAGTCAAAAATTTATTATATATATTTATAAAATTGTGTAAGTTGTAGGATGTTGGTATTCGCTTTGTGGTCGCAATACATTTTGAACTTGTAAAAACCTGAGAGTCGCAGTCTCAGAGCTTCGCTACCTTGCACTGACTTGTTCAATTCGTCACTCTATAAATACGAATGTGGGACAAATACGTTTATTCGTTTTCTGAATCTTGAAAAGGAAAGTGCTAAGAAAATATTTTAAAAAATATAAACAGATAGTATATCACACAACTTATAGTGAGTCAGTATTATTTTGTTTGAGAGTGCTGAAGAAAAGTAAGTACACTATTTTTTATTAAATTTTAGTTTTGTACTCGTAGTTAGCAAAGATAGATAAATTACGCCAATCATGACTTTAGTTATTAATAGTTAAATATTCAATCATGCAAAATTACACGAGTACTCCTCAATAGTTTCTTTTTGAAAGTTTTAGCAATCGGTAATATAATTACAGTGCAATCTCCGTAATTCGAGCTAATTGTTGCAAGAAGATGTTCGAATTATGGAATGTTTTCGGAAAAATCAAAAAATATTTTTAATATACAGTTGCTGGATTTTATGACTTAATTTCAGAAGAAACCTACACTGGACAGAACGTTCGCTTCGACGTCACAAAGAAATGACGATGGTTTGCGGGCGTCTTACAATATCTCGTTACTTATAGCAAAATCCGGAAAACCGCATACTATCGGAGAGAAGTTAATTTTGCCAGCCGTTGAAGAGGTTTTAAAAACTGTTTTACACAAACCTGCATCTGATATCATTAAAAGAATTCCCTTAAGCAACAATACTGTTGAAAGACGTATTGATGAAATGAGTTCTGATATTGAAAGCTTCTTATGTAATTATTTGCAAACGACCCATGTCTCTATACAACTGGTCGAGTCAACTTTACCTGATAATGCAGCATTATTATTGGCATATTTTCGTTTTATTATGAATCAAGAAATCTACGAAGAACTGCTCTTCGCAAGAACTTTGATAACCGACACTAAAGGTGAATCAATATTTCATGTTTTGAAGGATTACTTCATTGAAAAAGCAATTCCTTTATCAAATATAATATCGGTAGCTACAGATGGAGCACCTGTCATGGTTTTACGTTATCGTGGATTTATAAGCTATTTAAAACAAAATGTGTCAGGGGTGTTAGCAATACATTGCGTCATCCATCGACAACATTTAGTTGCTAAAAATTTGAGTGTTAGATTGCAGGAATCACTTCATTTAGTCATTAATGCAGTAAGCCGAATCCGAAGCAACGCGTTGAATACGCGGTTATTTGCGCAGTTGTGTGAAGAAAATGAGGAACACTGTCATCAATTACTCCTTCACACTGAAGTACGCTGGCTGTCGAAAGGCTTATGTTTGACAAGAATTTTTGCACTTTTTGAGACTATTTTAGAATTTCAGGATACTAAAGACAAAATTTTAAAAGAAAATTTAATGAAGAGGAAAACAGACATCGCCTATTTAACAGATTTGTTTACAATATTTAATATGGTTAATTTGGAATTACAAGGCGACAGTTTAAATTTGATTAAAACAAAGTCCATATTATCAGCGTTTCTTGCCAGAGTTAAACTAATGAAGCAAAATATTGGACGGGGCGAATTTTCTCAGTTCCCCAATTTGTCACAGACAAGCTGCCAGGAAGACGACGTTTCAACTTACGTTCAACGTGTAAATGCCCTCTATTCAGATTTTGAATCTAGGTTTGAGGATATTTTGACTATGGTAATACCACCGTGGATAATTAATCCATATGGTGACATAGAAGAAACGAATGTCATAATACAAGAGGAACTGACTGAACTAAGTACGAACGAAAAACAGAAGGTTCAGTTTAAAACCGGATATCAGCAATTCTAGCTTCAAAACAACATACCCGTTACTTATCTTATGGAATATAGCGAGGAAATTTTTAATTTCCTTTCCATCGTCATACCTAGTGGAAAGGGGGTTCATCGCTGTTACCAATCTCCTAACGAAAAAAAGAAACAGACTGGACATCATTAGCCGAGGAGATTTAAGATTAACCCTTACAAAATTGACGCCAAATGTTGATAATTTATTATTAAAGCATCAGGTTCATCCTTCTCACTAAAAATATTGACTTATTGCTTATGTTATTTTATTTTATTTATGATCTAGACCTTGTCATCAAAAATAAGCAAAGCGAATACCCCCCTCCCTGCCTCCTTTAGTGCTTACGTAATGCTTGAATGGTCCCTTGGACTATTCTACTACTATTCTACCATTACTTCTACTATTCATTCATGACAAGGTAAGGGTGTCCCAGCAACTGTAAAGTCTACCTACTATACCATTTCAATAAGTTTTGATACTTTTATATTGACTCGTGTAAGCACGTAAGTGTTTAAGCACTAATAATAAACTAAACATATGTTGACTTTGATATACGGTCGGTATACCATAGACCACTTGTATGTAGACAACGATTGTATATTCACTATTGATAAAACCGGGTTTTTGGGCAAATCAGGTGACTAGATTAAGAATCTGATATCGTTTTTCTGCTTCACTACAGGCCTAGAAGTCGCATGTTCTTACTCGAACACACAAATTTTTGATGGTGATATGGGAAATCCCTGTCCCAGTGTACAAGTCTATCAAATTTAGTATAGATCCAGGAACGTGGAGCAAAAATAAATTCTCTAAAACCACTAAAACCCGTTTCTTCAGTAAATCGGGCATGTACACCAAGAAAATATCAGTAGTTTGCTGAGATTGAAAGGAAACACCGAAAGCCCGATTTATTTACAATAATAGGGGTCGGCGCACTTTTGGATTTTCGATTGCCTCAGTATTCAGAAATTGCGATAGGTACTGAAATCGATTAAATTCTTTCATCAACATGGGCTACGTCGCACATAAAATTTACACGGTTTGATACATTTGTAAAGTACTGAAAGTGGAACACGCCTATTATAGCTGATTGACAATTCAAGTATAAGCCAATTGAGTTTGTCCTCGAACCAAGGCGCCGCCTATCCAGACAAAAACACTCCTAGCGACCGTAGTAGGTATTGAGATTCCATTGTGTTTTCAAAGGCTACTAATGTAGGAAATCTACAATTTAACTCAGAAGGAAGGTCAACATTAGCGAAAAAAAAAAGACGACGTCGCTATGTCTGTCCAAGTTAATGAAACAGACGTAGCCCGTACGTGATTGGTGTGTTTAGTAGGGGCTCTCATAGTCCAGGAAGAGTAGAAAAGAAACGTGAATATTTGCTCGCAAAAGTTGTATGGATTATATTATACAGGGTGGCGCATCGAAAACGAAACAGACGCATTTACTGGCAGCTCACTTTTTTTTTTTGGAAAAACGCTCAGACCCGCCGATTTTGTTTTCGAGGGGACACAAGTTTGGCACGTTAACACGTGCAGCCCCCTGGGCGGGGGTGACACCAACCCTAAAATCTTAAATGGAAAGGGGGGTCGAGTTATTTTAAAGGTATTTCTATTCCCTTTATAATGATATAAAATTAATGTACTTCAGTTCAGTAGTTTTGAAGATTTATTGATTTAAAGCTTAAAGTAGACTTTAATAAGTACATCAGATAATACATCATCATTAGTGGAGCATTTGGCAGCAAAGTAATTTAAAAATGAAGAATGAACTGACACGTTAGGCACGTAAATGTTGAAGATGGCCACCATGACTCTCCATGCAATAATAAAGATTTTGCTCAAAACGTTGCCACACATTTTGCAATATTTGAGGAGTAATTTGAAGGCACTCATTCACAATTCCTTGCCGCAGGTCTTCTAATGATGTTGGCTGAGTAGCACAGATTTTCCCACAAAAATTGGTGTACCCATTTTATACGTCCATGATTTAAATAGCCCCTTGAAGAACTTGCATTAATAAAACTAGACTTTACAATTATTTCGCAAACCAGAGGTATTCTCGTCTAATATGATTAGACTACTTATAAGGAATGATCATCAGGCTAACATGTCCCATATGGCGTTAGGCCTGGTTCGGTCAAGTTGAGCTGTTAAGGTCAAGTTAGAATATGTTAGGTGACTTTATGAGCGCACCATAATTGTGAAAAATCAAAAGATGAAAATTCATTACTTAATCCTAAAAAATTCGCTACCGAGAAACGCCAAGATTTGAGTACGTTTCTAACAACTTCGACACTCTATTATAGTAGTCTGGGATTTTGATAACTAATCTCTGTGATCTGTGAGGAAAACTGATGATAGTAATCTCGAAGACCTGCGATTAAGTCTTTCTCAAGAATCTTGGAATATTCAAGAGACCGATATAGATGATGCTTTCGAAAAATTGCTTAACACCTTTCTGTGGCATTTCGATAGGACATGTCCTCAGAAAGTTATTACAAGCAGACCCAAACGAACAAATTTGAAGTAAAAGTATACTAAGTGACATATAAATCCGATCACCCAGTTTAAATGGTTTTATTTTAATAAAACTTTGTATAAGTACTTAATGAAGCATAATAAGTAAATGATAAAAATTTCAAAATGATTGCACTGCTTTAAAGCCCTTTGACCTTTAATAATGTGTGGATGCACCCTGATGTGCTACGCATTCTCCAACGCGCCTAGGCATGCTTCTGATCAGGTGGTCAATGTCCTCCTGTGGTATCTCATTCCAGGCAACCACCAACTCCTCTCGAAGTGCTTCTAGAGTCTGAGGAGGACGTTGCAAATTGAGCAATCTCCTACCCATCATATCCCACACGTGCTCAACTGGGGATAAGTCGGGAGATCTTGGTGGCCATGGTAACAATGTGACATCATTATGTTGAAAGAAGTCTATTGTGACTCTTGCAACATGTGGTCGGGCAATATCTTGTTGGAAAGTTGGATATGCCAGGGTGTCAAGATAGGGTAAAAGATGGGGTTCTAGAACTTCGTGGATATAACGCTGCGCGTTCATGTTACCTCTGATGAAGATTAAAGGTGACCTGGAACCATAAGCTATAGCACCCCAAACCATAACTCCAACAGTGTGATGAACATGTCTTTCAACAAAAAACTGTGGATTCCTCCTTTCACCACGTCGCCTTCTAACCCTGGCACGACCATCGTGCATGCCTAAACAAAATCGAGACTCGTCACTAAAGACAATACTGTTCCATTCCTGATCCCAGAGTGACCGTTGTCTACACCACTCAAGGCGATTACGTCGGTGTTCTCGAGTTAAAGGGAGGACCCAGTGTGGCCGGTATGAAAACAAGCCAAAACTTCTCATTCATCGGTAAACACTTCGCATGCCAATATCTTCCGTGTTCTGCAAACCATTCATTTGCAATGGACCTTAAGGCCAATAATCTTAGGCGGCGATCTTCACGGTCTGTTGTTCTACAGCGGCGTCCAGTGCCCCTTGCTCTTTGCGTACGGCCTTCTCGAAGCCATGCCTGACAACACCTAACCACAGTGTCTACACTTCTTTGCACTCTAACTGCAATTGCCCGAAAAGAAAGTCCAGCTTCCCGAAGTCCCACTATACGGCCCTTATCAAACTCACTAAGTTGACGAAATCGTACAGGTCTCCGTACTCTAGGCATCGTAACCGATCGTAAAGGATGTCAAGAACCAAAATCCGCCAATGTTGATTCTTTACTGCGAGTGAAATATTCATTTTTAGAGCGTTAGTGAATTAAAAAAAAGCAGTATAAAAACCGGAATGTCCAACTGATAAGGCTGAACATTTTTTCACTTGTTATTTACAGTAAGATAAATACATTCATCAACTTTTATTAAAATAAAACCATTTAATCTGGGTGTTCGGATTTATATGTCACTTAGTATATATTGAAAAGAAAAAGCAACATCGAAAACTGATCTCAAAGGCCAAGCAGCAATATAACTGCAACGAAATTAGAACAGTTGATAATAAGACAAAAAAGATCTGGGAAATAGTCCACCTGGAGCTTGGTATGGTAATTCAGTAAACAATAGGTGCACGGATGTTCTCGAGAGAATCGTCAACAAAAATTTCCTTCCAAAATTTGTAGAGTATTAAAGAAAATGACTCGTCCTTCCTTCACTGGCCTACGAAACAAATGAAAAATCTGTAGGGATTGGAGAAGGCGGCTGTCGGCAATATCCGGTAAAACCAGTCAAGAGTCATGGGATGTGTAGCTTTAGGGGATTGTGTATTTTAATAAATCGGCCTTAGGAACGGATGGATGGATGGATGGATGGGCGAGATAGATAACTCGAAGATAAATTGAATGATACTTAGGTCTCGTCCTGAATAGTCGTTTGTGATTATTATTTCATATCATTCCAGAAAGGATGTTAATTAAATGTTTGTTTCTTTTTAGATTTCCAATATTTGCCTTGTCACTTTGAAACAGCGGGAAAGCAGACAAGCATCAAGGAAAGCGACTATTTTCGATCTAAGGATTCCTTGTTGCCTCTGGTTATCTGTTGTCATTTTAACACTTGATGCAGAATGTAGAGGCATAGTTACGGGTTGTCCAATAGGGAAGCAGTAAAGTAAACGTTTTCTGTCACCGACATGTCATTTTGTTAGTTGAATGTTTACCATTGATCGCTATGGAGTCGTATTCGATTGAAGACCGCATTAAAGTTATTCAAGAGCACTACAAAAATGGTGCAAAAATAAAAAACACGTTTCGCGCGCTTCGTGAACATTTCGGTCGCAACAACCGCCCAAACGAAACAACCATCGGTCGTCTGGTGCGTAAATTCGAGGCAACAGGTTCTGTGGCAAATCTGCCAGGCTCTTGCCGGCCAAGGAGCGTTCGCACACCGGAAATATTGCTGTTGTGAAGGAGAGTGTGAGAGACGATCCGAAACAATCAACAACGCGTCGATCCCAAGAATTGGGCATTTCGAGAACC